TGGGGTTGCACATGCAGGATATTCGCCTTGCGTGAGTTCATGTTCAGTGCTTTGTCTTGAGTAGCTATTAGCAGGGTTACCGTGTCAGCATGGATGCCTGTGCCTTCACCAAGTTGACGAAGATACTGTACATGAAGTCCATTATTCTTCCAACCAACGTATCGGGCCTTGTCTGCATTTTACTAATGATTTTCTGCATTTCTAGTTGTTCGCTATTCTAGTATGTACATGTCGTTAATATTTACAGCCGCCAGCGTCCAATCTTTCACTCTCACTTTCGCAACCAAACACTGCGTTAGGGATGATGTGTCTAATTCCAACACATTCCCTGACACTACAAAGCCCTCTTCTTTCTTTACGTTGGCCATGTAATCTGTCCGTATATGCTTTTGAATGTACCCTTCCACAAATGTTAAAATGGTTAATGGCCACAATCTTACTCTTCACGATTTGGTAAATTCTCCTCCCGTATTCATTCGTGATCCTTAATTTCATTTCTCTGAGTAACAAATTGTCAAGTTCTAGCACACCGATGGGTCTGTAGGACTGTCGTTCCTTCAAACTGCTTATTGTATCAGTCCATAGCGTAATTCCACCACTTCCATCCAAGGTTAATACATCAGTATGTCTACGGGAAGGAAATAAGTGCCTAGACGTTACGCTTGCCAGATGGCATTGCACAGTTCTACCTTTAAAATAAGTCATTCCTGACTGATGGGATTGGAACTGGACATCCGCAACAATGACACAGTAATAACTTAATGAAAAGAACGGTGCCAAAAATACTGTCATCATGAACGTGAAGGAAGACCGACTTTCCGACGGTCATAAACTATCCTTAATTTTTTTTCTTTACACGACAAATGACAATGAAGGTATGTTCGCAGTCGATAACTCGTGTCATGAAGATCAAAATGGTCGGCTAACGAAACAATGATAATTACTAATTGAAACTGTTCAATACGTATTTCAAGCAAATCTGCATAGAAGAAAAACAATTCGATTGCAAACGTTTTCTGAAAGACTGGGACGCGCCGTTGGCACTGATCGCTAAAGAAAGCCTCATAAACTATAACTATCCTCTGAGAGGACGAATCGTCCTGTGAGTCATACCAAAAAAGATTCAGACCAATGTTAGAGGAATAACGTCAAGAAATAGAGAGAAAAACAATACTATCCATGGTAGTTAGATAACCAAGGCTACCATTATCCATGCAGCGCGCAAAACCCGTCATTACTTATACGAACACAGAACGACATTTATTAGTTTTGTTATTCTTCCATTAAGTATGACTTCTAGGATCAGTTAGTCCTGGGTTTAAGTTAGCTATTCGAAGGCAATTTCAAAAACCTAATACATCAGTGATGTCACTTACCATTTCGTTTCTAGAGCAAATATTGTGTGGTATTATTCCTTAATGCGGTTAGTAATAGTAAAGCAGTACGTCATCTTCTATGCAGAACGCCGACAGCATCGTGTTTACAATTCAAGACACACCTCAGAGTCGTGCTACTGGGGCCATGAATGATGCTGAGCTCTGTAAATAGTAGGGCGACGTCTGCTCAGTGTCTTTTCCTCTGTCCTCTAATCTCTCGCCTGGAATATAACCCTGTAGCATCATTTTCTGCTCACCAAAGTTGCAACAGCCGGGGTATAAGTGAACACAGCGAAAGGTTACGTTTTGGACTGAACAGCGAGTCAATTTCGGTCCATACTGGAAAGCATGTATTACCGCTCTGGACGTAATATTATTACTTAGACCACATTTTCCCTATTCGTCGAACTTTCTTCTCCCATAACCGAACCAACGGAGCTTGCTGCCGATCAGCTGCTTTGAAACTAGCGCTAAGC